CGGGAAGCAGGGGAGGGGGCGGAGACTTTGGGGAGTGGGCGGGGTTGGGCAGGGGGTGTGTGGGCGGGGCTGGGGGCAGGGCCGTGGGCCGTGGAGTGTCCTCCATTTGGAGGCACAAAATATGGTAACCCTAGGCTTGTGGAATAGCTCATGGCAACTGGAGCTGTGCTGTGAGCTGGAAAGGGCAAAGGGAGTTATGCCCTTCTTATTAAGGCACAGATAGCTGTTAAATACAAGCTATGTTGTTTTAAGTTAAACATTACATAACACAGCAATGAGAGGCTGCTGTAGGCTTCAGTCTGCCACAGTCTACGCTCCACCAATGGTTCAGAACTCCACCTTCCAAAATGGAGGATGACCTTTTGTGTCTGCCACTGCACCTCGTATCTTTACACAACAATAAAGCTACTCCACACAGTGGTGGGACAGGAGCTAGTGTGTAGGCACAGTGTTTCTGTGTACATGATCCGGGCTCTGGTAGATCTCCCGTGCAGAGCTTGGTTCTAGAGGCTGACCCACAGAGCACTTCCACAATCTTGTCCCCTCCCTAACGGAGTAATGCTGGGGAAACAAAGTGCTAACTCCTTCTATCCTGATCCCTTCATGTAAGTAGTCCAGTGGTTCTCAACCTTTCCAGACTATTGTACCCCTTTCAGGAGTCTGATTTGTCTTGTGTACCCCAAGTTTCACCTCACTTAAAAAGCTACTTGCTTACAAAGTATCTCAGCACACTGTTACTAAGGCTATGTTTATGTCACAGGGGTCACAGAATCCGTGACTTCCAGAGACCTCTGTGACATTCTCTGCTTCAGCCCCAGGGGCTCTGGGATTCTGGAGCTGGTAGCCAGTGGGCCTGGGCAGGTTCCAGCGACGGGGCCTCCTGCAAGGTTCTGGTGATAGACTCCTGAAGGGGCCCTCCTCAGGGTTCCGGCAACAGCCTCGTGCAGGGGGAGGGGGACGCCTTGGGGGGAGCGGCTGGGGGGTGTCACATTTTCTTTTTGGGAAATATGTTCACCCTGCAGCTCCTAGCCGCCAGTGGGGGGGAGGCTGCAGCTTCCAGCTGCTGCGGGCAGAGGGGGAACCCCACAGCTCCCAGCCACCACAGTGGTGGGGGAAACCATGGAGCTGCAGCAGCAAAAGTCACATACAGGTCATGGCTTCCGGTAATTTTTGTTTATTGCAAATAACTTGTCCCTGACTTTTACTAAAAATAACCATGAGAAAATCTTAGTCTTAACTATTACTGAAAAATTGCTTACTTTCTCGTTTTACCATATACACCTCTACCCCAATATAGCGCTGTCCTTGGGAGCCAAAAAATCTTACCACGTTATAGGTGAAACCGCGTTATATCGAACTTGCTTTGATCCTTTGGAGCGCGCAGCCATGCCCCCCCGGAGCACTGCTTTACCGCATTATATCCGAATTCATGTTATATCGGGTTGTGTTATATCAGGGTAGAGGTGTACTTATAAAATAAATCAAGTGGAATATAAATATTGTACGCCTCTACCCCGTTTCACCTATAATGTGGTAAGATATTTTGGCTCCCGAGGACAGCGTTATATCGAGGTAGAGGTGTACTTACTTTTCAGGATATAGTATATAGAGCAGTATAAACAAGTCATTGTATGAAATTTTAGTTTGCACTGACTTTGCTAGTGCTTTTTATGTAGCCTGTTGTAAAATTAGACAGATATCTAGATGAGCTGATGTACCCCCGGAAGACCTGTGTGTACCCCCAGAGATACACGTATCACTGGAGTAGTCTATGGGACGATATGGCTCTTAGAAAATAAAGCAGTACAGGCAAAAATCTTCCCTCCAAGTCATGCACATAAGTCCCATGGACTTCAGAATTTGACCCATTGGGTACAGTTGGGTTTTATTTCTCTGTCTGTGTTAGAGAAGCTTGAGGTTTCCCATGAATTTTAATTAAACAAGATAGAAGTAAGTGATTATTTGAAATTGGTCTCTGCGAGTAAGCTCATACAGACATAAATTAATTCAGTACAAATATTTATTTTTAAATATTGTGTAGCAAAAAGATGAAATCAAAGCTGAACTAAAGAGGTTAGTGAAGCATGACATTTTAAATGGGGTATGGTGATGGTTACAGTTTTCCCAAAAGCTGAAGCAACTACAGTGTTCAGAACATTCAGGTTGGAAAAATATTGCTATGGCAACAAATGACTTTTATATTCACATAAAGCAAAAATAGATCTCTCTCTCTCTCTCTCTCTCCCTCTGTGGGAAGCACATATTTTAAAGTGCTTGAAAGATTAAAGGTGATAGGCAGAAACAGTTGCACGAATATATTTTCATTTTTCTTCATTTGCTTTATATATATTTCTGTATGAATCTGAAATGCAGAAATAATTTAGAGCTAGAAGCATCTTACTACCAAAAAGTAGGAATTGCTTAGGGAAGGAGGGGAGGGGAAAAGTATAATTCAGTCAGAACTTCTATTCTGACTGTGGCATAACATGTTGGGCTTTAATTTATTAAAAGAAATATTCCCAACAGTCATAAGATATAAAAAAATTCTATATTTGACAAGACTAAAATTATTTCACTTCTCTTCTAGCATGAAAGACTCCACCCAATTTTTTTATTCTAGATCAGCTACAGTGTATGTCAGAGTAGTGGATTTTCTGGCAAGACAGAGATTAGTTCATTTCATCTTTTATTTTTCTTTTAAAAAGATGTCATT